TAACCCTTCTGACGATGACATCTAAGATGTGGAACGATTACTGTTGACAGAACTTACAAACCGCCCGCGCAAGCGCGCGGCGCCATCCGAGCGCGCAGACGCGAAGCACTCGTGATGTTGGCGCGTATCGCAGCGTGTAAGCTAAGGAAAACCCACGCCCCGCACTTAGGCAAGAGCTATTAAATGAGGAACGCTTTCGGCGCAGGCTCGACTCGACGGAGCGCCTACTGGCCGCTCGCCAGGTTCGCACCAAGGACGACAACTTCGAGGACATGCCCTACCAGCAGCGAACCAGAGCCACGATGAGGATAGACGTCGGCGGCGCTATACTTGGACCCCGCCCCCAGAGCGGCGGACGCATGGGCGACAGCAACGGGCCTGAACTGTTCGTGGGATCCCGCTGCCCCTTGATCGCCGAGTGGAACCGAGAGCTCACATATAGCATTGGCGACGGGCTGACAGCTGCCAGCCCCGTCACGGGCAGCGCGCGTCGCGTAGACACGCGCGCATTCATTTATGATACTATCCGCATCTCAATTATTTCCGATGGCGCGCTGCGGCAAGCCCTCGCTATTGACTGCATTGCTGCGTCTTTCCTCTACGCCAAGCAGAAAGGCGGCTACGGACAGAACGTCGGCAAGCAGGAGACCCCGGTAACATCGCATACGAGCGCAGCTGCAAAGAAGGCGGATCAGCAGCTCGGCGGCGCTCGCGCGGCGAGCATCATCCACCTCGGCGCCTACATCCACGTCGACGGCCACGGCGCCCGCGAGGTCGAGGAACGCTGCAAAATATTTGCATGCCTCGCTAACGTGGCAAACCGCGCGCGGCCAGGTCTGGAACGGCTAGCCTCGCGCGTGGAGAGTTCGCGCGCAGCGGTGCAAGCATGGCAAAAGATGCGACGCATGTTGCTCGGAGAAGCTTGCGCAGTTGATGACTGCGTCGGCCATGCTTGTCGCAAGACGAGGGAGTGGTTCATCGTCTGGGGAATCTCCCCAACTTCTTTTCAGCCGCGCGCGCGACGGCTCAAATGGTGGCAGACGCTCAGCGAAGAAACGCTTCTTCATGGCCAGTTCCTCGGAGGTTTCTTCGGGCGCGGTGGGATTGAAGACAAAGTCGCCGACCGGGCCCCCTCCTGCCTCCGCCCCCGCCGCGCTGGCGAACGGGGCCCTCGACGGCGACTCGTCCGCGCGCGCGTGGGCTCGTCAGCTCAGGCAAGACAAGAAGGGTGCACTCGAAGTCCCCGCCCCCGACGACAGAAAATCAGCATGGGGCATCAGCGCCAGCGCCCGAGTGCCCCGAGCCCCAGGAGGCTTCCCGGAGGATCGACTTCGGGCATTTCCGCCAGGCGTGCGCATCGCAGTCTTGAGCCCCACCCAGAGCATTTAACATGCCTTCCAACGAGCCCTTGGAGACCCCGACGGCGACCCCGAAGGCCCGTGCCCGTTCGTCTGCCGCATAGAAGGCTACGCGCGACAATTCCGCGCGTTCTCAGCACTCATTACTCATCGAACACCGGCCGCGCACCCAAGGCGCGGCGCCCCCGCATTGCTGTCGACGATCACGGCCGACAGCCGCTGTCTAGTATGTGATTATGCATATGGATCTACTCGATATTATCAATATCATCATCGTCGGCCTTGGATAGAAGGACGATGTTTCACCGATCGCGCGTTGCGCGCCCGCGCCTGCGCCCGGTTTGCATGCGCGAGATGCCCCCTGGAGCTCATCGGCCCCGACCCAGAGCGCCGACGTGAACATCGCAATCCTGAGGCCTTGCGAGAGCACCGACGCTCGCGTAGTCCTCCGTCGCCACGTGGCCCCTGGCTCAAGAGGCTGCCTCGCCCCGCGCTGAAAGCGCAGAGAAGAGGGCGCGCGGCGCCCGCTCCGCGCCAGCTTCCGCCGCCGCCCTGGAAGCCAACCGACGCCGCGCATCCACGTCTCGAAGTACGACGAGCTGCGGACCGGTCTTTGGGAGCTGCTACGCGGGCGATAGCTGCAGCGACTTCGCGCACACGGACCAGACGCACCCCCAGGGCACAGCCAACCACGCGACCCGAGCTCGGCATAAACATTCACGAGTCCACGCGGGGTACCAGCCCAACGGCATTGATTTCTACGCCAGCTCTCTGACAGCCATCCCATCCAACTCATCGAAATCAGCAAACTCAGCGAGATGGCCAAAAACAGGTCAGGAGGTCCCCCTGAAGGAGAACAAGCCGCGCGGAGAGGCCCCCTGCCGCCATCGACCAAGTCTGGGGGCCTTGGCAAGGGCTCCAAGGCAGACGACGTGGAACCATCGCTGAGAAAGCCGAGTACACAGGCCCGACAACGCCGAGGACAAGCATCAGCGTCAACAGACAGTGCCCCCCCACCAGAGGAGGACGAGGACGGCGCGATGGAGGTGGGCGCAGCGGAGGGGGAATAACCTCGCAGGGCTTGCGGCCGAGGCGGCAGGAGGGCCCACCAAGGCCAGCGCGCGAGCAAGACGTGGACCAACCAAGACAAGCATATGCATTCTCTGCTCATGACGCCCATGACATTGACCCTGCAGAATACGCAGAAAATCAAACTGATCATGTGCTCAGGAGCGGACGCACTCAGGATGCCGATCCACCATCCGGTCTTCGCGCGCATCTTAGACTAGCTGGAGTGCTCCCACGAGACGGTCGACGGCCTCAGGCAGAACAAAGTCAAGGAAGCGCTCAAGCGCCTAGGGGACCCGACCCCCGCGCTGGCCCTGGCGATGCTCGCGGGCCTTCTGGCTTGCGAGATAGGTGGCCGATGTCGGCAGCTAGTGGGCGAGCAGATGGAGAAATGCCAGCCCCAAGCCGTCGGGCAGGAACCCACGAACGACATGGGCCACACCAGCGACGAAGTTCACTTCATCAGAACCGAGAATACCCTCGACCCCAACATTGCCAAGTTGGTGCTGCGCACCCAAGACTTTGGAGGCCCGCGAAATCATCCTGGACGGCCTACGGGCCGAGGGGAGGACACAACGCTACCAACCCCGCCCCAGCGGGATGGTCGGCAGCGTGGATTTCCGTCTGGTTCGAGCACTTCCGCGGGAACGCATAGTCTTTGTACAGGGCAAGACTCTCCTCCCAGCTGCTACACCAGCACCGACTCCAGCTCGCACGCCCTCGCCCGACCATGGGTTAGGCCCCGCCGAGGTTAACGGCAACAACTCTGAACAGAGTTTGTCCGCTGACGCGGAGTTATTTTCCTAGGCGCGAGGCCCCCCCCGTCCCAGCCTTTCTTTCGCACCGCTCTAGGTCCCACGCCCTAAACGCTTGAACTGCATGGGTCGATGCGCGGAGCCAGTTTGGGACGGGCAATGTTGGAAGATCGCAAGCTGTTCAGGGTTTATCCCCCGCGTGCTTCGCATGTCCGCCCGCCAATTGCGCGCGGCACCGTTGCAGCGTGCGGCCGACGCGGCGCGAGGCAACCATCCAATCGGAGGCGTTGCAGCGACGAGTTCAGACTGTATATTTCCAGGGTGATCGGCGGTGCTGCCCCATGCCTTCGGAGTATCGGGTCGTATGGCCGACGCCCGTCACTCGCGGTTGCGTCCATCAGCACAATCGCACACCGTGTCAGCACATTGGCTCCCATGTCGTCGTAAAAGAGAAAACAAACAGTCCTGGGAAATGGGTCGAGACCTCCAGGGTCGACGTTATGAAAGAACATGACGTCGGGGGTCTGGGTTCGAAGAATCAGTCACGCGCGGGGCGGGGGTTGGGGGAGGGGGAAGGGCTTCTCAGAAGCACCCTGCTTCTCACAAGGCGCGGGCCTTGTCTGCAGATGGAAGGCCGGCGCCTTCTAAGAAGCAGCTTCCTCCTAAGAGGCCTTCCCCCTTGCCCTTCCGCCTTCTCGCGCCCCCGACCCTCGCCTCCCTTGGAAACCCGACGTTGCGGCAGAAGTTCCAGCATTTTGAAACATTACGGCCGGAATCCCAAAGCTTCGTCTTCCAGCGGCATTCCAAGAGGTCCAAAACATGAAGGCCGAAGTGGTTCGCAGCTTCTGTGGCCTCTATAGGGGGCCCTCGTCGGGCCCCAGGGCCGTGCACCAAAGTATTCAGGACGAAGATCACCACCCATCAAACCACCCCAACCCAACCCGAAGGCCTCAAATTGACCTCCATTTCCAGTGGGGGGGGGGTCGGGGAACATCGAGAAAACACATATGGAACCCGTACCCCCCCCAACCCGAAATTCGGGTCTTCGGGTTGGGTTGGGGTGGCCTGGTAGGTAGTCAGAAGAGCCGCTCCGGGTGAATGAGTCGAGACGTCTGGGGATCCCATATTGCAGAAAATCGCGGCGTCGGATCTGGGTTTCTCGAGCCGCATCGGCCTGCGACGGCCCCGGGGCCCAGGACCAGGCGAGAGCGCTGGGGCGTGAGCATGTTGCAACGCCCAGATCTGAGAGTTTGAGAAATCGAATAAGACATCGGCTAACTACATGATCGATTGCCCCAAAGTGGATGCATCCATCGAAGCTACGAGAAACATGCGCAGAATGCGCCGTACACCTACGGAACAATCCGCGTCTTCTTCGTAGATTTGACGAACGAGTGAAACTTGGGCGAATCGATTCTGCAGCCGACCTCCTACTCGAAGAGGGCCCCCCCTCTCACCAGACCCCCAACGCCGTGATTTTTCACGACGTCGACCCTCCAGAGGTCTGGACCTCTTCCCCGGGACCGGCTTTTCGTCCCGAGTCGTTTTTTTGACGGCCCCGAGGCCCGGTGAGGCCCCCCGGCGGCAGAACATAGCGAAAAACCTCCCGTCGTGCTTTTTGCTCGCGACCCACCTGCGACCCACCCTCCTCCTCCTCCTCCTCCTCCTCCTCCTCCTCCTCCTCCTCCTCCTCCTCCTCCTCCTCCTCCTCCTCCTCCTCCTCCTCCTTCTCCTCCTCCTCCTCCTCCCCCTCCCCCTCCCCCTCCTCCTCGCCGCGCGAGGGGGCTGGGCCTCGCGCCACCTTCGGGGCGCCGCCGAGGTGAGGCGCCGGATGCACCGGCCCGAGCCAGTGGGCCTCGGAGTGCTGCTGGAGGCGCTGCGCGGCGCGGTCGGCCTCGCAGGGGCGGACCTCCGGGGGAGGGCAGGCCCGGACGGAGAGGTCCTCCCTTGGCGTCGCTCCCAGACCTCGCGTTCCTGGACGCCCGACATGGGTACCGAAAGAATGGGTACAATGCCCGACAGCAGTTCCTGTTCATTTTGAACAGGACTCGCTGTCCGCGCCGCCGCGGCCTGTGTCCATTCGAGACAGAAGGCCGCCTGCCAAACAGCGGCTGCTGTTGGTTTGGGACAACATTTGTTATTGGGCATGGTACCCATTCTTTCGGTACCCATTTCGGGCGTTGTGGCACAAACCGCGACGGGAGGGTTTTCCTCACTTTCGGCCTCCTCGCGTTGTGGCAACAGCCACGACGGGAGGTTTTTCCTCACTTTCGGCCTCCTCGCGTCGTGGCAAAACCCCCACGACGGGAGGTTTTTCTTCACTTTCGGCCTCCTCGCGTCGTGGCAAAAACCCCACGACGGGAGGTTTTTCCTCACTTTCGGCCTCCTCGCGTCGTGGCAAGAACCCCACGACGGGAGGTTTTTCCTCACTTTCGGCCTCCTCGCGGTGTGGCAAGAAACCCACGACGGGAGGTTTTTCCTCACTTTCGGCCTCCTCGCGGTGTGGCAAGAAACCCACGACGGGAGGTCTTTTCTCACTTTCGGCCTCCTCGCGTCGTGGCAAAAACCCCACGACGGGAGGTTTTTCCTCACTTTCGGCCTCCTCGCGTCGTGGCAAAAACTCCACGACGGGAGGTTTTTCCTCACTTTCGGCCTCCTCGCGTCGTGGCAAACACCCCACGACGGGAGGTCTTTTCTTCACTTTCGGCCTCCGGGGGCCCTTTCCGGGCCTCGGGGCCGTCCGACAACGTCTCGGGGCGAGAAGAATCAGGAGGAAAAGAAACACACAGACACAATTAATCGTCGACTCCCCAGAAAATATAGGAAAATATGGGAAGTGGGGGGGAAGACAGAAACCCAGAAAATATTGGAAAATATGGGGGATATTTTTATTTGTGTGTATTTATTTGTGTGTCCTGGGGCCCCTTCAAAGAAGCCGGTCCCCGGGGAAGGGGTCCAGACCTCTCGGGGTCGACGCTGCGAAAGGATCACGACGTCGGGGGCCCGGGAACGGGGTGGTGACCACACAGTATTCAGGAGGAAAAGAAACACACAGACACAATTAATCCTCCATTCCCCAGAAAATATGGGAAAATATGGGAAGTGGGGGGGAAGACAAACACTTAGAAAATATTAGGAAATATGGGGATTTTTTTATTTGTGTGTATTTATTTGTGTGTTCCAGTTCCCCTTCAAGTATGGTGAGTCGGTGGGGATTCGGGGTCACCGCACGGTATTGGGACTCTGGTCGTTCTCCGAGGATGTCTCGGGCGACTGGGGCCTCCAGGGTCCCCAAACCGTGTGGTGTGTGGACCCTGCGGTGAGGTCTTTGCGGAGTTCGAGGTCACCGCCGGCTCTGTCACCACACGGCGTTGGGACCCCCAGGTCGCCAGTTGGTGTTCTTTTCCGCTTTCCGCCGCATGAGCCAGCCCCAGCCCCCAGCGGCCCAACGTATTGAACAAATCAAGATGGAGGTTTTTCCCCACGGGACAGGTTGGGGTCGTCAGATGTTAAGAACAGACCTCCCGGCCACTCCCACACACCCTGCATACCGCGGCCGCCAGACCCCAAGTTGTCCCGAGTGTCCTGGTTATCCCGCCTCGCGCCCTCGACAAACACGACAGAACACACCTTGCATACCGCAGCCGCCCGACCCCAAGTTGTCCCGAGTGTCCCGGTTATCCCGCCTCGCGCCCTCGACAAACGCGACAGAACACACCCTGCATACCGCGGCTTCCAGACCCCAAGTTGTCCCGAGATTCCCGGGTATCCCGCCTCGCGCCCTCGACAAACGCGACAGAACACACCCTGCATACCGCGGCCGCCAGACCCCAAGTTGTCCCGAGATTCCCGGTTATCCCGCCTCGCGCCCTCGACAAACACGACAGAACACACCTTGCATACCGCAGCCGCCCGACCCCAAGTTGTCCCGAGTGTCCCGGTTATCCCGCCTCGCGCCCTCGACAAACGCGACAGAACACACCCTGCATACCGCGGCTTCCAGACCCCAAGTTGTCCCGAGATTCCCGGGTATCCCGCCTCGCGCCCTCGACAAACGCGACAGAACACACCCTGCATACCGCGGCCGCCAGACCCCAAGTTGTCCCGAGTGTCCTGGTTATCCCGCCTCGCGCCCTCGACAAACACGACAGAGCACACCCTGCATACCGCGGACGCCCGACCCCAAGTTGTCCCGAGAATCCCGGGTTTCCTGCCTCGCGCCCTCGACAAACACGACAGAACACAATCTGACACAACAGAACATTACAGAACATATCAAGGGTATGACAGAACATGGCAGAACATAACATATCAACATCATGACAAACTAGAGGACACCAGCAGATCACATAACATACCTATACGACCACCCTTCGGGTGATAAGGAGGTGAGGGGGGAGGAGGAACCAACATGTCACTCAATACATCTCGCGATCGATCCCACTATCGATCTCACTATCGATATCACTCGATCGATCTCACTATCGATCTCACTATCGATGTCACAATCGGTCCCACAACCGATCTCATTATCGATCTGATTCAGTCGATCTCACTATCGATATCACTATCGATCTCACATTCCGTTTCACTATCGATCTCACAATCGATCGCACATTCGGTCTCACATTCGATCTCAATCGATCTCACAATCGATCTCACAATCGATCTCACATTCGGTCTCACTATCGATCTCACTATCGATCTCACTATCGATCTCACTATCGATCTCACGATCGGTCTCACAGTCGATCTCACTATCGATCTCACGACAGGACACCGACGGGACACCGACGGGACAACGGCGAGCCACCGACGGGAAAACGGGACACCGACGGGACACCGACGGGACAACGGCGAGCCACCGACAATGCGGACCCCCGCTTGACAACACCGGGGGGGGGGGAACATTTGTCTTGACGGACACCTAGCGACAGCAGAGTGAATTCCTATCGCCCGCCCACGCAGCTTCGCCTCGCCCGCACGCACGACATGAACACGAAACCGAAACCGATTTCCCGGTGGGGGGCTCTCCGTTCCACTTCGATCTCACCCCCTCACCTCCGACCAGGTAACATACCAGGGCAGAACATGACATAACAGAAATCCACAGAGATAACATACCATAGCAACACCGACCATAACATCAGACACATAGACAGAATATGCCAGATCATGGCACAGTGTCACCAAACATAGCATAATATGACAGCAGAACATAGCGGCGAACACGTCAGGACACAACATGTCACACCATGATATAGCATACTATTTCACGAGCATGCCACAACATGACATAGCATACCATAGCAACATCATAACGAACAAGAGCATGCTATACCATCGCACAACACATCATATCATAGCATGGTAGAACAGAAGGCGACATCACACAACATAACACAACATAGCCGAGGAAAACATACGACGCCTTGGCAGAATATTCCATATCATTGCACTTTATCGCAGAACACATCATAACACTACAGTTTAGCATATCGCAGCATATTAGCATAACAGGTCACAGTATATCATATTGTGCCGAGTCGTCCACAAACACAACATACCAGAGCATATCATGATATATCATAAGACGGCATAACACACCATAACGTAACATCACCGATCGTAACATAGCACACTAAGACAGAACACATCATATCACGACACATCATCATATAGCATATCACAGCACGGCACCAGAGCATTGCGAAGCACGCTAGCAGGGCAGATCATGACACAATGTACTGAGCCGAGCCGCCGGCAGCATCAAGGAGCATATCATGATATCACATAATCTGCCAACATAGTATGCAATAGCGCAGTGCCGCAACGCAGATCCTACCATATCGGGGGAGCGTAAGACCCGGGTTTGCCGGGACTCGGGTTCGCCATCGTTTTTTGACGACCGCGCCTCGGATTTTGACGAGGAGGAGTTTCGTGGGATGTCTGCAGCGGGAGGCCTCGTCAAAATGCAGGCTCGGCCTCGTCATTTTTTTGACGACCTCGTCGGGGATGTCCGAGTCCCCCGTACCCGGGTCTTACGTCTCCCCGACCATAGCACCTCCAACCACATGGTGACAGATCTGAGCCAACTTGCGCCCATGGATGTCGGACACCCACGTGCCGGGGGGGCTCCGCCCGGGGCCGCCGCGCGCCCCGGCGCTTGCCTGGAGGAGCGAAGAAGACGGGGGCGAGGGGGAAGAGGGGGAGGGCGAGGCGCATGATGAGGGAAGAGGACGAAGAACAGGGCGAGGAGGAGGGAAACAGAGGAGGAGGAGGAGGAGGAGGAGGAGGAGTGGGAGGATCGAGGACGATGAGGAGGAACAGGAGGAAGGAGAGATCCGCCTCACCTCCTCTTTCCTCCTCGTCCTCCTCGTCCTTCGTCGTCCGCCTCCTCGTGGTGCTGCTGCTGTTTCTCCTCCCCCTCTTATAACGGAGGTCAACACCATCTCAGAACAAGTTCTGGGGCAGCGCAACAAGCGTTTCGGGTTTGGTTTTGTCCTCGTCAGGGGCCCTGGGGTTAGGATTCGGAAAACATCAACTTGCGACCTGGCCCGGCAGCCGCGCTGGCCGACTCCGCCGGGCATGGCGCACATCCTGCCAATGGGCGCGCGCACCGTTGGGACCAGACGCTTAAGGTTTCGGTGGGGATCGCTCGAAGCAAAATCATTCGCAGCTCCTGGCCTCTAGAGTTAAGTCGGGCCTGTCCCCCTACAGGGGGATTTTCGACGAAAAAGAAAAAATACCTATACGACCACCCTTCGGGTGATAAGGAGGTTCGGGGGGGAGGAACCAACGTCTCACTCGATCGGTCTCACTATCGATCTCACTATCGATCTCACTATCGGTCTCGCTCGATCGATCTCACTCGATCGATCTCACCATCGATCTCACTCGATTTATTTCATTCGATCGATCTCACAATCGATCGGACTATCGATCTGACAATCGATCTCACTATCGATCTCACGATCGATCTCACAATCGATCTCACATTCGGTCTCACTATCGATCTCATTATCGATATCACCATCGATCTCACAATAAACATCATCATAAACATCATCGTCATCAACGTCATCAACATCATCATCATCATCATCATCGTCATCGTCATCATCATCAACAACATTATTTCATCATCATCGGGACACCATCATCATCATCATCATCATCATCATCATCATCATCATCATCATCTCATCATCATGATCATCAACATCAACACCACCACCACCACCATCATCATCATCATCATCGTCATCATCATCATCATCATCATCATCACCGGGACACCGTCATCGTCACCATTGTCATCATCATCATCATCATCATCATCGGGACACCATCATAGTCATCAATCGGAACAACATCATCATCTCATCATCATCATCATCATGAACAATATCATCAACATCATCAGCATCGCGACACCATCATCATCAGCAACATCATCATCATCATCATCATCAACATCATCATCATCGGGACACCATCATCATCAACATCAGCATCCTCAGCATCATCGGGCCACCATCATCAAAATCATCATCATCATCACATCATCATCCTCATCATCAACATCATCATCATTATCATCGGGGCACCATCATCGTCATCATCATCAACGTCATCATCATCATCATCATCATCATCATCGCGACACCATCATCATCACCATCATCATCATTAACAGCATCATCATCAACCTCATCCTCATCCTCATCATCATCATCGGGGCACCATCATCATCATCTTCATCATCATGAGCATCGATCATCAACATCATCAGGATCATCAACATCGTCATCATCTTCGGGACACAATCATCATCAGCAACATCATCATCAACATCATCATCATCATCATCGGGACACCATCATCATCACCACAATCACCATCATCACCAACATCGTCAACATCATCATCATCGGGACACCATCATCATCTCCACCATCACCATCATCATCAACATCATCGACATCATCATCATCATTATTATCATCATCATAATCATCGTCCTCGTCCTCGTCCTCGTCATCGTCATCGTCATCGTCATCATCATCATCATCATCATCATCATCATCATCATCATCATCATCATCATCATCATCATCGGGACACCGACGGGACACCGGCGGGACACCGGCGGGACACCGCGGGCCACCGGCACCGCGGGCCACCGGCCCGGAAGGGAGTCATTTGGTCTGGCCGCGCCTCAGCCACAGGAGACTTTCTCTCGCCCGCCCACGCAGCTTCGCCTCGCCCGCACGGCACGCACGAACACGAAACCGAAATCGATTTCCCGGTAGGGGGGCTCTCCATTCCACTTCGATCTCACCCCCTCACCTCCGACCCCCAAAATAGTCAAAACATAGTCCCCAAATAGTCTGGGGACTAGTTTTGGAGTACTTTTTGACCTCTTCGGGGCATTTTGGGTGTATTTTTCATTGTTCGTCGAAAATCCCCCCTGTAGGGGGACACGCCCGACATAACGGCAGATGCCCTCGTCGGGCCCCAGGGCCGTCCAACCACGACTCGGGGTGAAAAAGCCGGCCCCGGGGGAGTGGGTCGAGGCGTGCGTGGCCCCGCGTGGACAGACATCACGACGTCGGATCTCTGTCAGGAGGGAAAGGAACACACAGACACAATTAATCGTCGATTTCCCAGAACATATAGGAGAATATAGGGGATCTTTTTATTTGTGTGTATGTATTTGTGTGTCCCAGGGCCCCTTCACTCTGGGCCAGCCCCATTCGCTCCCGAGGAGGCTCCTCGCACGCCGTTTCCCACGAGCGCGTCTGCCCCCTCCCCTGCCTCGACGCCCCTTCCCCCCCCTCGCTTACCCCTCTGTTCCAGGCTCCAGGCCTCCCCGATGGGGTACGCTCCTCTTGGCCGATGCATCGGCGATGCGGCTCGATGTGGAGCCTGATTTTTACAACGTCGACGTCGCCGATGCATCGCCCACGTCGACGATGCATCGCCGATGCATGGGCGACGCATCGGCGGTGCGGCGCGATCCTCCGACCCCATCTACTCGGACCAAATTTGGGACGCATCTACCATCCCCCCCTGCACGGTGACGCGAAGCTTGCTCAACCGTCATGCGCGCATTGTCACGCCGTGCATGCAGATAGCAGTGGCTGTTTTTCAAGATCGCGCCCCGCCCCGTTCACGGGCCAACCTTTCGGTTTGATCTGGCCTGTGCTGCCTGGCGGGCGCATGTTTTTTTTCGAGTGGGGCGTTTGCGCATGTCATTGTGGGCCCCGGGGCCATCGCATCTCGATCTGACTCGAAACAACACTCATCAGGAGGGAAAAAACACACAGACACAATTAATCGCCGATCCCCCAGAAAATATGGGAAGATATGGGAAGTGGGGGGGAAGACAAAAACCGAGAACATATAGGAAAATATGGGGCATTTTGTTATTTGTGTATATTTATTTGTGTGTCCTGGGGCCCCTTCAATTCAGCCGAAAGCTTGGGTCTGGGGCTTTGGGTCGTGATCTTTCACGACGTTGCATCTCATCGTGACGTTGGCTCGCAGGGAAGGTACCGATGTCGCTACCCTGCCAAACATGCTCGCGTAGTGGAAATGTCACGACGGGAGTTTTTCTTGCGGTTCTCGGCCTCCAGGTGCCCTCCCAGGCCCCAGGACCATCAGAGAACGATTCCCCGTAACGACAAATCCACGGCGTCGCATGCTTGGGCTTGCCTCTTTCTCGCCCTTTTGACCCCCATAGGGGGCCCTCGTCGCCACCGCTGGATCCGCCTCGAGGCTTTGGTCAGAACGCGCCCTGGCAGAGGTACGAGGAGTAGCGAAATCGGTACCGTCTCCTGAGATCAGGCGTTGAGAACAATACAACATCGCGAGAAATCGCGACTGGAGCTCTGGAGCCCCATCTTCTTGCGGCGTTTCTCGAGCCGCATGGATTTGTGATGGCCCCTCGGCCCAGGAGTCCAAGGGAGGCCGGTAGAGACACCCGGAGTCCAGAGTGCCCCCTGGCCAACACCGTGGGTCTAGAGACTTCTGGGTCTTGGATCTCGTTCATTGGGCCAGCCGTAACATACAATAGCAGTGGGTTCCCATCGCCTCATGCATTGTGAACATCGCCGTACTACTGAGTACACGGCTACGTTGTTGTGCACACAGCGTGTAACCCAATCGTGCGAGAACGTTGATTACGAATATTCATGGAATGACGGCGCCACGATGAATCCTGTTTTATCTTCCCCCTCGTCCTTCTGTGCCCCCCCTTTCTCATCCTCATCCTCATCCCTCTTTCCCTCTATCTCATCAACTTGCTCCCTCCTCCCCTCTTCATCCCTCCCCTCTCACTCCACCTCTTCCTCATCCTCATTATCATCCCGCGTCCCCTCTTCTTCCTCCCCCCCTCCGCATCATCAGCATCCTCCTCCCTCTTCCCCTCTTCGTCCTCCCTCCTCCCTCCTCCCTCTGCCCCTCTTCCCTATCCTCGTCCTCTTTGTCCTCCCCTCTTGCTCCTCCCTCCTCCTTCTCCCCTCGTCCTCATTGTCATCATCCTTCTTCCTCCCCTCTTCTTCTTCTTCTTCATCCGCCTCCTCCTCCTTCTCATCCTCTTCCTCCCCCTCCTTCCTCTTTTCTTTCTCATCCTCCTCCTCCTTTTTCTCCCTTCTTCCTCCTGAGTCCTCCCGCCCCCCCTGTTGTTCCTCATCCTCATCTTCCTCCTTTTCCCGTTCTTCGTCGTCCCCCGGGGAACTGAGAACTCGGGTTGAAATATTCGGTGTGCTTCGCGTCGCGTTCCCAGGGAACGCGGCGCCCCCAGTTTTTGGTACAGTTGGCCGCTTTCAGCAGAGCATTTCCCGTGAGACAGTTCGTCGTTTCCGAGTTGTGACGGTTTGTTTGTTCCCTCCCGTCGGGAGTTTGTTGTGGGTTCTCGCTGGGGTTTTTCAGAGCCTTATCAGGAATTCGAGGGGGGAGGCCCCAACAGGGCCCAGGAGGGCTCCCACAGTGCCCTTCGAGTTGTCGACTTCAACACCCGTGCCGGTGACAATGCTATTGGGGTTCTCTTGAGGCCATTTCGTGGCCTTCTGTGGACTCTCTGGGGGCTTCTTGGGTGCGCTGCAGGGCTTCCTCGGGACCTCGGGAAGACTTCAGGAGGACCTCAAGAGGGGCTTCAAGTGAGCGCCAAGAGGAATGCAAGACGGCCCCAAACGACAGTACAGATTCAGTTCGATTCATGATGTCGGAGAGAGCCCCAGGAGAGCCAAGCGCCAACCCGCATTCGAAGATAGAGAGCCCATGGGCAACAGCATCGGGTTTAATCAGAGAGTGCAGTCCTCATAGTTCCTGTCTGGTTCAATTGGAAATCGTTGTAGCAGTAGCGTGGAAATGCAGCGGCATTCGCGTCTCGATAGCGTCACTTGTGGAAGCGGCGAGATACCTGTCCCTTGCGCTTCCACTCCTGACCGTCGACCCAGCGGAAGCTGCCGAGGCCGTGCAAACCAACTGTATCAAGCCGCCTGTTTCCGAGAAGCTGGGCGGAGGAGGAGGAGGAGGAGGAGGAGGAGGAGGAGGAGGAGGAGGAGGAGGAGGAGGATGGAGGAGGAGGAGGAGGGAGGTGAGGGGAAGGACGACGGGAGGACGAGAGAAGGAGGAGGAGGAGGAGGAGAGGAGGAAAGGAGGAAGAGGAGGAGGCCTTTTGGCTTCCCCAGAGGACCCTCTGGACATCGCCGGCGTCGCCGACGAGGCCCGGCGGTGCCCACAACGGGGGGGCGCCGGCGCGAGGGGGGGGGGGGCCTGCCGAGGAGGCGGCGAGGCGTCTGAGGAGGCAGGGCGCCTGCTCGGAATGATGGGCGCGTTTTCCGCCACCACCACCATAAATTGCAGGGGGGAACGGGGAGGAGGACGATGAGGAGGAGGACGAGGAGGACGGAGGAGGAGAAGGAGGAGGAGGAGGAGGAGGATGAGGAGGAGGAGGAGGAGGAGGAGGTGCCTGCTCAGAAGCCTGATCCCCAGAGATCCAACGGCAGTTCTTCGCAGTGTTTCGGAGGTTGTTCGCCGTTTTTCGCCGCTTTCGCCGTTTTTCGGCCTTCGCCGTGTTCCCGGCGGCGCCTCCGGCGCCGCCACTGGCGCGCTCCGCGCGCCAGGGAGGGGGGTCCAGCGCCGATCCGAGAAATCCGCGCGGACCTCTGAGTTCTTATGCTAATGTAACTTTTTGCCCCCCTTAAAGACGGAAGTGTTTCGCAGTTGTCGGCACTCGCCGGGCCCCAGGAACATCCCAAAACGGCTCGGGTCGAAGAGCGGGTCGAGGGAAGGGATACAGACCTCTGGGGGTCGACGTTATGAACAAGTCACGGCGTCGGGGGTCTGGGTTGGAAGCCTGATCTGCTTAGACGAAGCCTTCGTAGAGAAGTCCCTGGGGCCCTCCAGGATAAAGCCCCTGCCTTCCAAGAAGAACCTCTGTGCCTTCTCAGGGGCCTAACCCCCACGTCTCCGTTGAGATTTGTGTTGATTCGGATTTGTATCTGTGCACGGCAGGTTCGCGTTGTGTCGACCGGCGGCGAGCCCAGCGCGTGCGTTTAAGGTTGAATGCCGCCCGTGGCCCAGAGTCGGCCCGTCGATGAACGATCCAGCGTTAATGGCACGGCCGATCGTCAAGGGCTCCCCCGAGGGCGCGAAGTTATTCGCGCTTCGCGCTTCGCGGTCCTCGTTTCTCCTCCCCCTCCTCCTCGTCCTCCTTTTCTCCCTTTGGGGGGGCGGCGCGAGAGCGCGAAGTTATTCGCGCTTCGCGCTTCGCGGAGCGCGAAGCGCGAAGTTGGGAGCCCTAGATCGTTCAGGTGTGAACGATCCCCGCGGTGTCCGGAACCAACGCTGGGGTCGACACGACGCGAACTTGTCGCATTCTCATGCTTCTGTCGATGTGTTCTCGCACGTGCCACCTGCATCACATGCCCTGGCGTTGAGTCGGGCCTGTCCCCCTACAGGGGGATCTTCGACGAAAAATAAAAAAAACAAATAGTCCAAAATAATGAAAAAAATAGTCTGGGGACTATTTTTGGAATTTTTTAAACCTTTTTGGAGTATTTTGGGGGTGTTTTTTTAATTTGTCGTTGAAAATCCCCCTGTATGGGGGACACGCCCGACATAACCCTGGTGCTGCGGCGCCCATCTGCGACGCCCCAGCCGGCGACAGATCCAGGCCCAGAGCCCCGAAATTCCGATGCTCCCCCTCGCGCCACCCCCTCTTGGGACGACGTTCCCGGGAGTTTCAAGAGGGAAAAACACACACAGACACAATTATTCGTCGATTCCCCAGAAAATATGGGAAAGTATGGGAATTGGGCGGGAAGATAAAATCCAAGAAAATATGTGAAAATATGGGGAATGTTTTTATTTGTGTATATTTATTTGTGTGTCCCAGGGCCCCTTCAGGAGTTTACGTGCGCTGGTATATCCCTGGTCGAAAACTGGCCTGCTCCCGCTCCCGCTCCGTACGGCTTGATTCAATCACGGGCGAAGCGTCCCAGCTGGCCTATATAGGCCTACCAAAGAATGCTCGAAGAACCTTCTGTGG